TAATCGACCTCCCTTAGAAGTCAGAGTCTGACTTTTACAGCTAGAATATCCAGTGCCTTGTTTTTACCTTTCTACAGTAATAACTAGGGTTTCCAATTAGATACAAATACCTACGCAAATCATAACAAATTTTCATTTCCACATTCTTATGATTATCTCAATCAGATCTGGCCCCAATCATGAAAAGACCCCAACAGCACTATCCATCTTTGCAAGGAATTTGAAACACCTTTATTTCAGGCCAGGAGATTTACTTCCCACATGCCCTGAAAACCTAACTGACCCCTGGCTTGAGTGGAACTGTGACAGTCCCTGCCAGTGAATCCATTTACAGTGCCCCCTTAGCAGAAGTGGCCTGTGCCCCAGAAGGATTTATCTTTATCTGTGGTTATCACTCTCCTTAAGCCTATGAATGCCTAAGACAATTGGTGCAGAACTGAGCAATGCCTCTCAGATTATCTAACTGTGCCCCTCACTGTTCACAAACAAACTGAGACACCTCATGGGGTCAAGTCCCCCGAATGTACACTGTCAAGTTAGAAAGGAACTAGCAGGAGACCGTCCATCATGTTTTAGGATTCACTTCCTTTGGCAAGTCTCTACTCTCCTGGTCAGGAACGTGTACAAGTGAGGCCATGATGAGGAATCTCTCCTTAACTCCTAAAAGTATTGCAGAATCTGCTGTAAAAGTGACAGGTCCCCAACAAAAATCCTCAGGCTCTGTGGCCAAGGTTGCTCTTGATAATAGGGTAGCACTTGAAAACCTTCTAGCTGAACGAGGAGGTGTGTGTGTTGTGGCCAATACCACCTGCTACATGTGGATGACACTTCTGGGGAAGCTGAAACTCAGCTACACAAGGTTAGTAAATGAGCCACTTGGCTTAAGGCAGTGACCCCTTCAACAGGATCTTTTTGGGGTTTATTTGATTTTGACTGATTGGGTCTTAGGGAGCATGGCTCCAAAATACACTCCAGACATGGGGAGTCATCCTGCTTAAACTAATTACCATAGTCTTCCTGGTGCGCTGTGTTCTCTCAAAGGCTTTAAATGCACGTTTGCAGCCACTAACCATCAAGCAAATGATCTCCCTAAGACTGAAATGTCAGAAAAGGAACAAAGACAATGATCAACCTAAAAAGAAAGGTGAACTTGAAGTTGTGATCTATCAACACTCCAGAGATTTAGCAAAAGCATCACGACCTGTGATTGCTGCACAGAGGATGGAACAAAAACTGAGGACTTGAGAGTGTCAGCTGGCAGTGGGGCTAGTGCCACTAGTTTAATTTATGATTAAATTTTGATCATACCTTGTAGTCAAGCTGAGAGGCTGATGTAAAGGGGGTAAATGTTAAAAAATAAAACAAACAGGCCCTAAATGGAGTCACTTGTGCTAAGCCCATATCACCAAACCAAGACATAATACCTAACTTAATTAGTTTTGACCTTTTCTAGGAGTGGATTCTTAACCCAGTTGATCTGGAATTAACCTGGTCAGCACTACCTGCCTAATAGATCCCTGAGGTCCCCTAAAATAAGGTGACCTTGCCTCAGACAATTCACTCTGTACCAATAACTTCCTTTTCCCACCCCATGCTGCCTATAAAATGCTTTCATTTTGTACAGCTCTTTGGAGATCCTTTCCATCTGCTAGATGAGATGCTGCACAATTCATGAATCACTGAAAAAAGCCAATAACATCTTTGAGTTCAATTTTAGACAAGATGGAAGAGTGACTTTTGATTAAAACCTTCCTAGGTGCCAGGAATTGGTCTAAGTATTTGCAAATATCATTTCATTTAACCCTCAAACAAACCTAGAAAGTAGGTACTCCAATTATCCTCTTTTCTCAGATATAGAAACTGAAGTCTAGAGAAAATCTGAAAGGTGCACATGTCCCATGGTTACCAAAGAGAAAAACAGGATTAGAATGTAGCCTCCCTTTCCTCAGAGGTCCATTTATTACCATTTATGCCATCCCACTTCACAGGATATAACAGATGGAGATCTTTCCAGACAATAAACACTAAGCTTCCAATACTTCCTATGTGCCATATATACAAGCAGGAACATTTTCTGAGCAATGGCCACACAGAAAAAGGGAAGTAAAAGGAAACAACACTTTTAAAGAATAGTTACATGCAATGGCCCTGGCTGTCACTGGATCCCACTATGGAATGTCATGCTCTACAGAAGGCCATAGCAAGGGGAGGGGTCAGAGTAAATAATTTAAATTACAGTATATCAGCAATTGCTCCCAAACAGGGAAATAAAGTGTTTGGAGCTAAAGAGTTTCCAAGAGAATTATTTTTTCCTATAGGAATTTCAGAATAAAGTGTCAAAATAATACTGAATCAGGTGATCAGAACAGACAAACCAACCCTAAAATATCACTGTGCAAATCCTGAACAGCAGATTAAGACAAAACCCAAAAGGTTTAAAACCAGCCTTACGGGGGCTGCTGGGCAGCTCAGTTGGTTAAGCGTCTGATTCTTGGTTTCAGCTCAGGTCACGATCTTATGGTTCATGGGTTTGAGCCCCATATCAAGCTCTATGCTGGCAGCGTGGAGCCTGCTTTGGAATCTTTCTCTCCCTCTCTCCTGCCCCACCTGTGATCTCTCCCTCTCTCAAAATAAATAAACTTAAAAAAAAATACTAAAACCATCATTACAATACATGGATGACAAAACGCAAAACAGATATGATAAGTAGAAAATCAAAATAAACTGCAACCAGTTCACAATGGCTAACAAAATCGGGTGATGGTAACTCAACTCATTAAACACAGCAACAAGGCTTTCCCCCAGTGTACAGTGCATTATAACAGTGGCATGACAGATAGATCTAGGTCTATCTATCTAGTTAGATCTATAGATAGTTATAGATAGATATCTGCATTATAACCAGTGGCAACAGGTAAAAAGCAAAATGCACTCCCTACTCAAGCTGGGCCAGCGGCAACAGCAAAGCATCTGGGAACTTGCTAGAAATACAGAATGTCTGGCCTTGCCTCTCAGGCTACCAATCAGACACTACATCTTAACAAAATTCCCAGATGAATGGAATGGTGTTAAGGTTCGAGAGGCCTTGGAGGAGGGGCTGAAGGCCAAGGGAAGAGAAGGGTTCCTCCCTCTGAATTTTCTGAGACTGCTTCTGTCTATACCATCACAAGACTCCTGAGAGGCAGTCTCTGAAATGTGAAGCCCAAGCAGCCACGAAGATCAGCCCCAAACCTCTCCCTGGTGGCTGAGAGAGTTACTGAGCACATGAACGGATCTGAGGAGAAAAGGCCAGGGAAATCAGCCCAGGCTACTTTGGGAGTAGTTGACAAATGTTAAGAGGGGGAGGTGAGAAGTCATGCCACGTACCGTGAGGGCTATGCACGGCCAGCTGCCCTGACCCAGGCAGGCCCGAGGAGGAAACCTCAAGCTTGAGGCCCTGAAGGTGAGCAGGATTTATGCAAACATTCGCTCTTTTGGTAGATTTAGGTCTAAACTTTCACAAAATATGGAGGTATTTGCTAGGAAAAGGAATGGATGGGGCCCTAAATCAAAGAGGAAAAGCGAAGAGTCAGATATTTAGATCCAGCTAATGCTGTACTAGTGCACAGCTCTGAGGTTACAGATTGGAAACGATATTCCACAGTGAGTTAAGAAGTAAGAGGATTTTAACTATGTCCACCCTGACGTGAAGTCTGTACTTTCTAACTAAGTTCTTTCCAGATTCTCTCTTAACTCAGTCAAAGGGCCTCAAGGGCACAGCATCCTGTGATAGGAACCCAAACGCCCCCCTCAGGCAACAAGGACCGCCCCCAGCCAGCAAGACCCGGCACAACTGGCCCCATGACAATGACGACCTGACCTTCACTGCCCACCTGCATGGACCCACTGACCTGTGTCCCACATCTTCCTTATATAAACCTACGAGTGTCTTCAGCACCTTGGAGATGGTCTTTGAGACACAAGTCCACTGTCTTCCTTTTGCTGGCCTCACTGAAATAAATTTCTTTCTGGTTTCACCACCACTGGTCTCTCTGCCTATGGATTTTGTCAACAGTGAGTAGCTGAACCTGGTCTGTTCGAGACCCCTGGAGCCAGGTGCTCATGTACCCTCATACCCCAGGGCTATAATTCTGGTGGGGCAGCCAGGAGCTGTACTTCTAATTTGTCCAGCCCCGTCGGGACTCCCAGGGGCAGAGAAGTTGGCCACAGCAGTACACCAGGGCTCACTGGTCCCTTTCCTGAGCTAGTGGATGTGACAGATGTCCCAGGCAGGGATGACAGGAAGTGTCTGCAGCTGCCAAAACTGGTTTCATTTTGAGGACTTCCTTGCTTTCTCTGAACTGGCATCAGTTGTTTTAACCACATTTGGTGAAACAGAGAAAGAAACAGGGAGTAGAGGGGCCCCAAGTTTTGACTCCTTGTAAGTCTACCCTCCTGTACTGTTGGGTTCTTCTGAACCATTTGTTTTGGGTTTTCATAACCCATTAGCTCAGGTTGTGGCAGGGGTTACTGTAATCTGTGAAGGTACCACTGGGAAAAGGAATGGATAAGAGGTAAATAGGAAGCGAGGGTACGCATTTGGGGGTGATCTCTGTTGGAGTTTGTGTGTATGTATGCGTACAAGACAGAGAATGCTAATTCTACCCCCTCCCGAAGCTCCCTAGGGAGAATACAAGCTGCCTGGTCTCCTTTTAGTTATAAACCTATGACGAAGAAGAAAATGAATGGTCATCATAACACTGCCTAGCATGTGTAGATGTTAAGCTCAGAGGAAAGATGGCCACTGAATGGCTCTTGGATTCCTTCCTCACATTCAGTTGCCTCCAAGGAGGTCTTGGTTTGGCTCTCTTAGCTTGTCTAGGAAGCCATCTGATTCAGTCACTGAATTGCCCCCCCACCCCCACTTTGGGGTAAGAACGATTGCTAACAGAGGTACTCTGGGCTTCATATAGTCATGGTTTTGTTTCTTCTGTGTTCCTTCTGAACATGTGTCTTGGAAGACGGAGAATCTTCCTTCTGTTCCCAAAGGAAGTCCATGGGGACATACCATGAATAAATGGTATGGACGGCCGAAAAGCAACCTAAAAATCATGATGGAGGGATCGGACATGGAAGCAAAGGAATGTGAGTCAGTCAGAACCTGAAATTCACCTCCAGCCTTGCTGGTTGCACCTTTACACGTCTGCCTCTACGTCCCCTCCTGTTTTGGCTCATACAGCAGCTCTTACACCCTACTTGGTGCCTCTGGCGCCCCTGGCTCCTGCTCCTCCGACCCGCACTATCGAGGAGCAGAAAGCACCTCAGGTTGTTGAGCTACCTCCTTATGAGGTTCAAATAGAAGCACTTCCCGAATCAACATGAAGGGAGTCCAGGGACTCACTTGGACTTAAACTGCCCACTTCAGATTTCCCCACAGGAGCCCCAGGTAAAATTGACAGTGGGGAACAAATGGATTCGCCTTTTAGGGGACAGAGGTACAACATACTTGGTATGAAAGCTAATTCAAGGTTGTCGGTTAAATTAAAACAGACATGTCTTTAGCATTATCAGCATTAAATACAAACCTTTTATTCTATCAAGGTTTACTAAAGGTCAAATAAGCTCATGTTATCTCTGTTGCACTTTGTCAGCAAAAAGGACTTAAAATGATGGTTAATTTGATATGTCTCATGAAGTTTTCATGGGTAATTGTTAAGAGCAAGTAGGTGAAATTAAAAAAAGGTATATAGCTTTCAGAATCTTTGGTAACCTAAAACCTTTGAAATTTTGCTAGGCTAAATGATATACTGGTTTGAATTCATTGGATGTCTTTTCCAAATAAGATAAAACACTGAAACATTAGTTACTAAACATACATTTATCTGCTTTTGGGTTCTTATTGCAGAGAAACTGATGATGAATTTGGGTCTGCTAGTAAAGAATATTATGCTTAGCCAAAATATTGTATTATGGAAAAACATGTTTCTAGATATTATGAAATATATTCATAAATTTCCAATCTAAAGAATTCTGATGTAACAGTTCACAATTGCTACTACCTAGCTGTTACTAGAAATTAAGGTTTCCAAGTATTAAGAATTCTGATAATTGAGACTGTTAGAAATAAGGGCAGCAACTCTGTATGCCAGGAAAATATGATGTATTTTTGATAAGGAAGGTATGAGGAATGAGAACTACATCTTTGTTGAGGAAAAAGAAAGTAATTTTGTCCTACAATGGAAGTGGTTACTTAGAGAGAGAAGGCTTAGGACAAAATCTGAATGAAAAAGAAAGCTGTAGAAAGTTTGTCAAGGGGAATCTTTGGAAAAGAATTTTATGCATGGTCAGGACTAAGACTGGAATGAGTTTTAAAAATACACTTGTATAAGAGTGAGATTTAGCTTTTCTGTCGGTTAAAAAGATAAAGTTTTCTTGCATTTGTAAGTCGGTTCTTATAAGAAATTGCAAACAAAGTTGTTGTTTTTTTCCTTTAAGTTTATTTATTTATTCTGAGAGGGAGGGAGGGAGGGAGAGAGAGAGAGAGAGAGAGAGAGAGAGAGAGAAAACACAAGTCAGGGAGGGGCAGAGAGAGGAGGAGAGAGAATCTGAAGCAGGCCCAAACTGTCAGCCAGACATAGGGCTCAAACTCATGAACCATGAGATCATGATCTGAGCCAAAAACCAAGAGTCAGATGCTTAACTGATTGAGGCACTCAGGCACTCCCGTTTTTTCTTTATCTGTTCAGAAAACCAAAGTTTCTCTATTTTGTCTTTTTAGGTCTTTGAATACTTAAGAAAGTTAAAACTCCTCAATATTAAAGGAGCTAAGTTTTGCTAACAACTATATAACCTTTCTTTTTTTTAAAAAATTTTTTGAAGTTTTTTTTTTTTTTTTTAATGTTTATTTCTAGGAGAGAGAGAGAGACAGCGTGACCAGGGGAGGGTCAAAGAGAGAGGGAGTCACAGACTGAAACAGGCTCCAGGCTCTGAGCTGGCAGTCAGCACAGAGCCCGATGCGGGGCTCGAACCCCCGAACCGCGAGATCATGACCTAAGCGAAAGTCGGACGCTCAACCGACTAAGCCACTCAGGCGCCCCAACAACTCTATAACCTTTCTGTTGCCACCTTGGTTAAGCAGACAATGTTATATTGTCTTTTTTTTCATCTTTTTTAATGTTTATTTTTGAGAGAGAGAGAGAGAGAGTGTGCGAGCGAGCGAGCATGAGCAAGGGAGGGGCAGAGAGAGAGAGGGAGACAGAATCTGAAGCAGGTTCCAGGCTCTGAGCTGTCAGCACACAGCCTGATGCGGGGCTCAAACCCAGGAACTGTGAGATCATGACCTGAGCCGAAGTTGGAAGCTTAACGGACTGAGCCACCCAGGTGCCCCCTCAATATTGTCTTACAATGATCTGTAATCCTATCTTGGAATATGCTTTAAAACTCTGAGGTTTTTAAGAAACCTCCCAAGATTCAAATTCTAACCAAAGTCTTTATGACTAATTAGGCTTATTTGTTAAGTTACACATACGTTAAGTTAGATGGGAAGCACCGTCAAACAAACGAAGATAAACTTTCTTAGGTTATATCGTATGTTCTAGAAGTTATACGAAATCCCTAACTTTCAGTTATGTCCCAGTATAAGATCATTATTTGACATTTCTAATTACTGAAATGTTGTCACAGAAATAACTGGATTTCCTTGCCAATTGCATTATAGTGAACTCTGATCAGATCTTTAACCATGTCCATTTTTGAGTCTCTTGGCATTTATTGTCTGAAACCCTTGCAACACACATTTCACCTTCCAGGAGATTCATGGAGAAGACTTTTGTCTTCTAACCTAAACAGGTTTCTGGTATCTTTAACATCCTAAATCTACACTGGGTAAGAATTTCTGGAACTGACAGAAAAACTGCATTCAAACAGAGTAAGAATTAGTAACATGGGACTGAAGGAATTGAGGAAGATGATTATACTTTTATGATTCTTATCTGAAACACTGCTAGTTCTCTAATGTTTGCTCTTCCAGATTTAAGGAAACTTTTTCTCTTAAGATATCTATAACTTACAGAAATATAAAATATTCCTTGTGAACAAACTAGAACATTCATCTTTTGTCCCTACTTGATCCCTCCAGAATTCAAAACCTCTAGGTAAGTGTTCTTTCTTTCATGGCAGTTCTAATTATTTGCATAAGTTCAAGAAGAATCTGTTCTTGTTATAATAAGACACCACTGGAAACATTGATTACATTACACCAAGTCTTTGACTGGAATGTCATATTTGACAGAGACATGCATAGACTCAGATATGACCAGACAGCTTTAAGGAACTAAGGTGGGCTTTATGGAGCCAACAGAGCCCCTTGGGAATGTTGGCATGATTCCTTGCTCAGAGAGTTCCCAGCTGCCTTACCAGGTGAGTAAAAAATGTCACTTCCTGGCAGGTGCAGAAACCTCAGGATATTTGGGGGAACTCAAAAAGAATTCACCCAAATCTACAGGTACTGCAGGCAAATCTGGTGACAAGTATTTGGCTCGGCTTCTGGTCTTGAGAGGCTACTAAAAGTTCAGTCTGAAATTCCTTACAAAAGTTCCAGCAAAGCAGATTTATAAGAACTTATGGTCAGTCACTATTCTTGCTGTACTTAAATAAATACTTAGGTCAACTTTATTAAAACTGGACTTTTGGGGGCACCTGGATGGCTCAGTCAGTTAAGTGTTCAACTTCATCTCAGGTCATGGTCTCGCTGTCCATGAGTTCGAGCGCTGTGTTGGGCTCTGTGCTGACAACTCAGAGCCTGGAGCCTGCTTCAGATTCTGTTTCTCCCTCTCATGATCTGTCTCTTCCCCGCTCACAATCTGTCTCTGTCTCTCAACAATGAATAAACATTTTTAAAAATTTTTTTAAAAACTGGATTTGTTTTACAAATTACACATATTTGTTTTACACAAATTAGTCTTCATTTGGTTATCTTTGATGTAGATGAGGTGATTTTAGAAATACTGTGTTTCAATAACATGCCTTTGTAGATGTTAGATTCTAGTTCTGCTTGTCTTTGAATGTTTGTTGTTTGCCTAAGCTAGACAACTCAAGGAAGTGCCACAACTGCTCATGTATAGATAATCTTTGTGCTTTTACTTTATGGGGATAATAAAAAGATCCCCGTAGGTATATGACTATTTCAACAGCTGGATAATGAGATGGATTCCCCAACAACTGTGTAACTCCACTATCACCCTGACAGGTTCTATGGCTGAGACAGCAAAATAGCTCCTCAAAAGCCAGGGCATACCCTACACTTCCTGTGGTTAGTTAGGGACTTGTAGAAATAAGGCACTCCCTTCCTTATGATGGGATTGGACAATGCACTTGTAGACACCCATACCTCCTGGAATGTCTACCGCTCACCAGTGATTTCTCATAATTGGGATATTGTTCAAGCTAGACATTGGGCAAAGGAGGCTTCTTGATTAATTTATCCCTTAGCCATATATATGTGTCACAGAAGCTACTTCTGTTGATGTAGAATTACAAGTCGGGTTTAGCCAGGCATACAGTGGCCATCTTTAATCAAACTCGGCACGTAGTCCCCCTCCTAAATGATAAAACCACAAATTGAAAAAGTAGTCCATCAAAACCAGATGGCCCTTGATATTCTGACTCCAGCCCAAGGAGGAACCTGTGCTCTCGTTAAAACAGAATGTTGTATATATATTCCAAATTACTCAAAGAATGTGTCTGAAGCCATGAAAGATTTAAATAAACACATCATTGCTATAGATGCCCTGGCTCTAGATCCTTTTGGCAGTCGACTAAATTTAATTCTTTCCAAACGGAAATATACCCTGCTATAAGCCCTGCTAGACTTCTTGTGCTTTTTCTTTTTGGTTGTTGTTTGATTTTTTGTATTTGGCAAGCAGGAGCCCGGGCTAGCCACACCAGCATGGAGACACCTTATTGTGTATTTCAGGAGAGACTCAAGAAACAAAATTCTCCTGGGGCGCCTGGGTGGCTTAGTCGGTTAAGCGTCCGACTTTCGCTCAGGTCATGATCTCGCGGTTTGTGGGTTCGAGCCCCGCGTCGGGCTCTGTGCTGACTGCCAGCTCAGAGCCTGGAGTCTGTTTCAATCTGTGACTCCCTCTCTCTCTGAACCTCCCCTGCTCACGCTGTCTCTCTCTCTCTCTCTCCTAGAAATAAATAAAACATTAAAAAAAAAAAAAATTAAAAAAAAAAAAAAAAAAAAAGAAACAAAATTCTCCTACCCTGTCAAAGCCTTCCATTCCAAAATCCCTAGGTCTTCCCTGGTCAGCAGGAAGTAGCTACAGAAGAAATGACCACTGTCTCTTTTCCCTCCATAGAAATGGAATGGTGCTTTGACAGTGGGGACCTGAAAGAGGATTTTACCTCCATTTTGACCTATCTTTTAAACAAGATAATGATCAACCTGATCTTTACTGCCAACCTGCATGTGCCCACCAACCTGTGTCCCATACTCCTCTTACATAAACTTGGAAGTATTTTCAGCACTTTGAGATAGTCTTTGAGATGTTAGTTCACGGTCTTCCCAGTACTGGCCTCCCTGAAATAAATTCCTTTCTTGGTTCACCTCCACTTGTCTCTCTGCCTCTGGATTTCATCATTGCTGAGTGGCTGAATCTGGTCTGTTTGGGATGCCCGGAGCTGGGTGCTCTTGCGCCCTTGGGCTGCCATTACAGAAGGCTCTGGTCTTGAATTATTTAGGTAGGAATCAGCTCTACAACTTAGTAGCTGTGTGATCTTGGGCAAAGTAACTTACTTCTCCTCTTTGTGCTTCAGCTTTTTCTTCTGTGCGGACCCTACAAGTATTTACCTCATAGTCATGGTGAAAACTGGATGACATAATACATGCATAGCCCTTAGTAGCTCAATGCCAGATACTCAATACATAAGTGGTTACTGTTATTATACAAGATAAGACCCACTTGAGAAAGGACAAAATTGAAAACCTCAGTTGGGACTGTTTGAAAGTAGTTAGGAACAGCAGAAAATAATTTAGTAGTAGAAAAATCTAAGTAGTAAAAATGGATATTGGGGTATCATTGAAGTAATGCAATTAATTATTTACTCAAGGCAGGAAAACTCCAAAGAGTGAGGAAATATGAGCAAGGGAAAAGCACACAGCAAAGGAACTGTGAATCTTCACTGGCTCTACCACTTGGAAGTGTCAATATTGAGCATCTCCAGTTTAGGACTGTCTTGAGGGCAGTCCTCCTGTTGGGAGATAAATGGGACATTTCCTCTGAGAACCAAGCCTCAGAAACTTAAGGAATTGTAAGCAAGAGACAGAGAAAGAACAGTCACTGCAGCATGAGTGATATCACAGGGCCTCAAAACAAAAAATAAAAAAATAAAAAAGGCTATAGGATCCTGCTGGGAATGTAAAAATATAGTGAGGAGAGCAAGCAGTCTGTCAGGAAGTAAGGCATGAGACCCATAGGACAGAGTCCATACTGAATCCAGAATCAGGTGCCAGGAACCCAAAGATCAACGGGCAAAAGGGATTTAGGGCAACTTAACTGCATACAATTAAACTAACCTCTCCACTGAAGATTTCAACCAGATGAATTTTAGTTCAATGACTGTGGACCTAGCATTTATGTAAAGCAGCAGCCAAAATACCTTAGATCATTCTGTGACTTGGAACAGACAGTGGAATGTTGTGATAACATATTTCCGGGAGAATAATTTTAGCAAAAGGTAGTCCAGATGGTGCTGTGGTATTCTGTCCTGATAACCGCTTACCATTTAAAACTTTGAGGAGGAGACATGAAAGTTAGGGTAATATCACTCAATTCTGAGGAGGCTGATTAAGGCACGCCGGGGAGGAGAGGCAAATTGTATCTGTGAGAGTTTACAGCTTTGGAGAGTTCGAGCTCCACTCTGGTGGGGTAAGCATTCTACCAGCTATCTCTTGCACTGATCACGATGAAAACCTCTGGACGGCACACAAAAAGCAAGAACCTGAAGACTCTGAAAAGCAAACAAAAGCAGGCAGAATGTAGAAGGCTATCATATCTGGAGAGGTGACCCAAGGAGATAAAGTTTCCCTTTTTATTTTTCCGTCTGTTCTTGGACTTTGCCCAGAGGATGAAGTCTCCATCTCAGAGCTGTCCAAAGGCCAGTGGACTGAGAAGCTAAGACCCCACAAAAGTTGTGGGCTCACCCCTCCTTTAGCTGTGCATGAGCGAGATGAACTCAAAGCAGCACAACTAAGATTTAAACAATTGCGTAAGTCTCTGGCTAACACAAGTGTCACATGCAAGGAAAAGACCCAAAGCAGCATAGCAAAGACTTGAAAACTGAACTGAGGCAAACAGACTAAGCCTAACCAGGTTGATAGCCTGCTAAAAAATTTAACATTTTCCAGAGGAATATAATAAGATCCAAAGTCTATACAAAATAAATGTTCAAAATGTCCAGGATACAGAACAAAAGTAATTTGATGCACAAAGATGATGGATTTGCAAAGAAAAAAAAGAAAAGAAAAAAGAAAAAAAGAATCTATACATGCCAACCACAAGATGAGCCTGACACTGGAATTTTCCAGAACAATAAAGATGCTATCTTAAGTAACCTTCATGAGGCTAAAGTAAACACACTTGAAATAAATGTAAAAATAAAGCTCTTACCAGATAAGCAAAAGCTATGAAAAAGAATTGGTAATTTCACAATTGAAAAAAATGACAATATCTGAAAGAAAATTATTTGGTCAGTGGGCTAAATAACAAAACAGCGATAATAAGGATAGAGTTAGAGATTTTGAAGACCAACCAAAAGAAATTGTCATATCTTAAAAACAGAAACACTAAATAAAATAATAATTGGAGCCTCAGGAACCTGTGAGATAATATTAAAGGGTCCAACACATGTCCACTCAGAGTCCCAGAAGTAGAGGGGAAAGAGGTTAGGACGAAAAGAAAAAAAATCTTTGAAAAAATAATGGCCAAAATTCTCCAAAATTTGGTTAAAGTCATAATTTATAGATTTGAGTTGTTTGGTAAACTCAGGTACATTAAACTCAAAATAAAGCACATATATAGATACATCACAATCCAACTGCTAAAAATCAAATTTTAAAAAAATACCTCAAAAGCAACTAGAGAATTACATGAAGAGATAAAGCAAAGAAGTCATCAGATAGATTAAAATCAACTAAGTCAAAAAACTCAAAAGAAGTCAAAAAAGGGGAACAGAGAAATAAACAAAATACAAAGGGACAAGCAGAAAACAAATAGACCTAAAATAAAATTAACAGAGCTGCATTAAACCATATCAATAGTTTATATTAAATATAAATGGTCCAAACATACCAATTAAAGGTATAGATTATGAGACTGGATAACTACAATAACACTCAAGACTATGCTATCTTTAAAAAAAAAACCAACAAATCCACTTTAATAATAAACACATAGATGGGTTACAATAAAAAGATGGGAAAGATATACTATGCAAGCAATAAGCAAAGGACAACTTGAGTGACTATTATATATTACACAAAGCAGACTTCAGAACAGTGAATGTTACCGGTGATAAAAAAGGAAATTACATAATAAGAAGGTCAAGTTGTTAAGAAAACATAATACTCTAAATGTGTATACACTTAATAAAAGAGCTTCTAAATATCTTAAGTAAAAGCTGACTGATGTGAAGAGAAATAGACAAATCTACAATTAAAGAGAATTTAACACTCCTTTCCCAATAACTAACAGAACAAGTAGACAAAAAAATCAGTAAGAATATAAAAGACCTAAATAACATTATCAACCGACTTGACTTAAATAACATGTATTGATCACTCCATCCAACAACACAACAACAGAATACACATTCTTTTTAAGTGCACACAGAACACCCGATGACATGGACCATATTCTGGCACTCCCTACTCTCCCCCAAAATATGATAAACTTAAAAACTGAAATCACAGAAAGCATATTGACCATAATGAAATTAAACAAGAAATCAATAACAGAAAAATTATAATCCCAAAGTATTTGGAAATTAACATACTCTAAACTCATGGATCAAAGAAATAACAAAGAAAATCAGAAAATATTCTGATCTGATTGATACATTATCAAAACAGAGCAGATCAAAATTTGTAGGATGAAGTGCTTAGAAGGAAATTATAAATGTATGCCTAACAATACTTAAATCTTTAAAAAAGTGTTTCTAGTCTAACAGTCTAAGATTCAACTTTATGAAACTAGAAAAAGAGAAAACAAAATGGATCCAAAGTAAGCAGAGGAAAGAAAAAAGAACATAAGTCAATAAAACTGAGAAAATAGAAAAAAACTTAAATGCACAAGTGGTTTTATAAAATATCAATAAATTATAAAAAGAACTAAGGCAGCTAGACTGTATGAAGACCAGAAATAATCCTCACCCTTCTGTTTTCCACACCTTTGTGTCCTTCCCTCTTGTGGATTGTGGGCAAAGCCTGTTATTTGTTTCTAACGGATAGAGTATGGAATATGGCTTTAGTCCCTTCTCAGTTTATACAATGTGATGTTGCCATTGTTGCCACCAAGTTGCAGAGGCTTACATGGCAAGGAATTGAGAGTGTATTATGAACTCTGCCAACAACCACAGGGTTTCAGAAGCAGATCCTTTATCAGACTAGCATTCAAATGAGAAGACTACCTCAGGCCAAGGCTTGAGCACAGCCTTATGGTACTTATGAGAGATCTGAAGCAGAGGACCCAGCTAAGCCATGCCTAAACTCTCCAAATTTTGACCCACAAAAACTTTCAGATAATAAGCGTATGCTAATTTTAAAGTCACTAAATTTGTAGTAACCTGTTATGCAGCAATAGATACTTGATGTAAGAGTGAAGACACAAATTACCAAAAATAAGAATGAAAGTGGAGACATTACTTCAGACCTTACAGAGAGTTAAAGGATATTAAGGGAATATTATGAACAACTTTATGCTTATATATATAACTGGCAATTTAGGTGAAATGGACAAATTGCTTCAAAGACACAAACTATCAAAACTCACTCAGGAAGATACCTTGAACAGTCGTGTGTGTGTGTGTGTGTGTGTGTGTAAATGTACAAAGATGTACTCTTCATGTACTCTCTTCCCCTCCTTCCTTCCTCCTCCTCTTCCCCACTTTTTAAAAGAAACTAAATTTATAGTTAAAAACTTCCCCAAAAGGCTCCAGGCTAAGGCATGGTTTTGTTGTATAATTCTATCAAACATTTTAAAGGAAAATAACAGTAATTTTATATAAGTTCTTTCAGAAAAGAGGAGAAAACACTCCCCAACACATTTTATAAGTGTGATATTACCTTAATACAAAAAGCAGATGAAAACAAATTTAAGAAAACTACTAAAGACCAGCAAATTGAACCTAGTACTGTGCAAAAGGCTAATACATCACACAAAGGTCATTCAACACACAAAAACTCATCAATGCAGTTCACCATTTCAACAGATGAAAAAAGAAAAATCATAAAATCACCTCAATAGATGCAGAAAAAAATCCATTTGACAAAATTCAATATCAATTCATGATAAATACTCCCAGCAAACTAACAATAAAAGGGAATTTTCTTAACTTGGTAAAGGGCATCTATAAAAAAACCTACAGCTAATGTCATACTTGATGGTGAAAGACTGAGTACTTTCTCCCTAAGACTGACAACAAAGTAAAGATGGTCTCACTACTCCCATTCATATTATACTGGGGAGCCTACAGTAAGGACAGAATAAAATAAGAATAAAGACTAAAATGCCTACAAAAAAAGAAATAAAATGGTCTCTGGTCACAGATAACAAGATTATCTACATAAAAAACAATGCATCCATAAAAAAAGTTACTAGAAATTTCCTTTAAGAACTGTAGAGAGGATTGCGTCGTTTGTATATAGTACCATTTAACAGAAGTGCATGGCTACTTCTAACATGCATGAGGCCAGCATTCCCCTAACCTCTTTTCCTTTAGAAGATTCTAGGGAGTGAGTATTTCTTTTCCATAACCATCAACCATCTTTAGTTGCTTGTGACTATGATTTACTTTTATTCTTCCCTGCATTACTATTCAGACCCATAGTTTATCTTCATCTATCTTCCCCATCCTCACCCCCGAGGTTAGCACCTATAGGAAAGAAAAAGAGAGCAAAGTTTATTCTGCTTTCCTCTTTCAATTCGATCCCTTGGGGAAACCAAAAGTAGCACAGATGTAACAGTAACTCCTTGGCTACAGAGAGTTGTCAGACTTAAAGAGAAACAGGAAACCATGCTATCTTTGCCTTTTTATCACAAGGTGTCTCTCTTGTCGGCTAAGAAACAGACCTTGGCTGAAGAGAAGATGCAATGGGGATGGAAGAGATGCTGCTAAGATGGATGCTGGGAGGGACACAGGGGCAGAGGAGGAGAAGGAAGTCCAAGTAATCCCCATGAGGCACAAAAGGATTTAGAACTGGGGAACACTTATATTCTCCTTAGCCCAACTCTATAGGGACTGGAAGCTGGGGTACTACAGGCTCTACAGTAAACATAAAAACAGATGGAGAATGTTCCTCCAGGTGGGCTTTAGGGGGTGCTTTCATATCTATAGATTAGAAGAAGGGAACACTATTAATAAGGGAAACTCTGAAGTATGTAAGTATGTATTTCTGAATAATGCAAATGATGTGACTATCTCTTCCAGTGCCATCAGGTGTGAGAAACTGCATCATTTCCCACTCGTCACCACCATCAAGAGTATGTGCTGTGACCTTTCAGAGGACTCCATGTCAATACAAGGGGTGATTCTCTAGCTTTTCCATTTATTTTCATCCCCATCATGGTCTCCTCAGTTTATGAAGGAATAATTAAGAAGAGATAGAAGGCTCCTTTATTCTTATCACACACCCCCCCCCCCCACCTCCAAATCATTGGTGTTGATCCTTGGAGCTTAATTACCTGTCACCAAATTTTTAAAGAATTGGCAACAAGGATGAGGTGGGTGGAGTAACACGGAGGTCAGGATTGTGCGCACGGCTATGAAGGGTGGACAAGACAGTTGCTAAAACGTGACTATGAGTCAAACCAGCCGATGTTTACAGAAATCATCACATCTATTAATTACTTTAAGCAGTTTCATTAACTGACTCTCCAGCTTTCAATATTCTAGCGCTCTGCTGAAACAGTTTATTTCATAAGAGTGTCACCATGGCTGCTGCCTCACAATGATTTAAAAGACACTTGTGTTACATTAACAAATATTAGTCTCTATTATTTAGTTACCCTGATTTACCTTAATATGTTGCGATGTGTTTGCTGTCCCCCTTACAAAGGTCCCACTAAAATGCCAGTACTGTTCTTCATTGACATCTTAAGTCTCATGGATGTCGTGAGTACAAAAGACTGAAAAATGTCATTTTCGAGGCCGAACAAAATGTGTTCAGAATGAGATTTTTTTTTTTTTTTTTTTTTTGGACCTGAAATCTTCAGCAGAATGCCCTCTGAGGTTAAATTCTTACTACCGCACTTATTTCATCAGAATTATTACAAAAGACACACTTACCAACCAAGACAACAAGTCTGTATTTTTCATTGGTTTGCCGCCGATAGGGTGTCACTTCTTCATATGTGGGCACGTCAGCTGTATCGTACTGGTCACTCTTCTTGCATTCATACATGGACTTATTTGTTTTCTTATCTTTTCTACTAAGACGGAAACTTCTCCTAAAACCGGCTGCAAAAATATATATATATAATACATATATTTTAGTAATAACTAAAGAAAGGAACCACAAAAAAACCCAAATATTTAAAAACCCTCAAATCTGGACTGGATTTTATAAACCATAAGACTGTTACAAGTACGTTTTGTAACAGAAAAAAGAAAACATAGATACTACACAATTTCATTAAAGCAATTTATAGAATTATCTAACATTTATCTTTGTAGTTTTACAAATTTTATTTGGTTCCAAACCATAAAGTGTTCTTTTCAGAAATCACTGAGTAAAATACGTAGTAAAGCAAAATAAGTTGGAAATCATAATTTATCATGGATTAACTGAGGAACATAGTTGATAAGAAAAAAGCTAAAACAACTAGCTAAAAGCTAAGACAAGCATTAACAAGAGATATATGGAAATAATATCCCTTATTTCTAGGGATAATAAAATTTATCCCTAGAAAAACTAGGGATAGTTTTCTATCCCTAGAAAACTAAACTAGGGATAGCTCAGTGTCAAACACGCCTATACATGGATCAGGCGGACAGAACCAGAGCAAGTTCTTTAACTTTTATGAGACTCCTGTGGAGGGGGAGTCAATGACCAAGTCCAGGTCCCTATGGAAAGTCTATGGTTTTATAATTTGAAGCCTACTGAAATTTGGAAATAAGATTCACAGTCTTGACTGTGCACTCCCATCAATAGATCATATGATCTTTTACTAAAATAATTTTACAAGTACTTCAATAAATGTGATGTCTGCTTAAAGAGTCCTCTCCAGCTCACTGCTACCATTTTTAACACTAAGAGCTCCGAAAGCTCAGGCAAAAGTTCTTCTCGGTCAACTCCCATTTCATTCTGCTTGCCCTTCATGTTGTTGCATCACTTAGGTTTTAATTCCTTTCTAGAATAGTGACGTTTATTGTACACAGTATGAATTTGGCAAGAAGTGCGATCAGTTCTCAACTTAACCAACCCTCAAAATCCAGACTTTAAGGAAGAGAAAACTGTTTTGTTTATTGAAATGTGATATCAGCCCCATAGTATGAAGCAAAATGCAAGTACATTTTTGTACAGAAATACATTCTCATGTAAAAGAGTATCTTTTTTCTCTTGGAAAAAATATTGATCAAATTTGATTAGTAAAAAAATTTTTTAAATAAAGGTATTTTATAATAAAATGCAAGAATGTTAAAACTGATTTGTATGGATTTTAGGAATCATAATGAAAAAGAACATTACCACTGAATTTAAGAAATTAATAGGATTCAAAATAAAGGCCAGTATTAAAAACAATTATCAATAACCACTGAGTTATACCACTCACCTTATGGATTCACAGTTTAACAAAAACCCAGCCAAGATATTAAGAATCAGGTGATAAAACTTCATCTGATGGTATATCTCTGTGGCCTACCACAAGTCATTCTGATTTCGAGATACTTGGATTATTTGAGGGAAAAGACTTACAAAGGATTTGAGACAAGAGTTAATCATTCCAAAGCTCTCATATCCAAGGCAGAAGGCAAAGAGAAAAAAGCAAATAGGACAAGGGATAACACATTGGTATTTCTCAAAGAAGGATGAGATTCCAGGGAAGCACATGGGAAAATGGCCAACTGGGCCTCGAGATGAAGAAAAAGTGTCAATGCTAAAAGCACACAGACAGGCAGAATTTAAAATTCTATATAAAGGATCACAGGAAAGTTCTTTATTACTGTGTCTCATTTTTCAGGATACTGGGGAAAGACTTGTGAGAACCAGGCAAAGGGTTTCTTCCCTTACATCTGAGTCCTCGCGATGCCACAGCAGAAGTCGGGGGAGGGGTCCTTACAACCCCTCCCAGGGCTTCAGTGCAATGCTTCTCAGACCACTGTGTCTTACCAATTTGCAGAAATTAGTTATCCATCCCGACCCCACCCCAACGCGGTCACCTGTGACTGCTGGCCCGCTCTGGAATCCAGGAGAAGATGGCTCCTGGTTCAGCACAAAAATTACACATCAGCTATTCTACCTCTTTGATGCTGATATTTCAGAGTGTTGTAATTTTAGGTTCCCACGGATCTCATCTCATGGAAGGCAATTAGAGGATAAGCAGGTAGAATGGGAAACTTCTTCATGGCTATTCCTTGCATGCAGGGAGGGTTTTCCTCAAGTCACTAACAAACCTATGGCCCAGGAATGACTCTAACTAGGACATAAATGGTTCATCCAAAGCAAATGAAGTCCAAGAGTGAAAACCTGAAAAAATTTTGGAGCCATGAATTCTAGCTGAGTCTTGCATTTCAGTGAAGGTGTTTACCCAGTTTTTACAATTAACTGAAACTTTTACTTTCATTATAAACAATAAAGAGATAGTGGGGACAAGAGAGAAGGTAATCGGATTTCTGGTTGAGGTTCTCTGGACATCAGAGATGGGGGCCATGGTCCATAGGGTGGTTTGGGCATATTAGTTATACGATGCTTGATAAAATTTTTCTAAATTCAATTACTTTAAAACGGCAATAGCAAAACCTTACTTCATTCCTGTTTCATTTTCTTAATATAAATTTCAACAAAGAAAGCAGGACACATTTGGCATCGTCACAAGAGAAAATTCTAAGAGGCAGACGTAACGATCAAATACCACATACAAAGACACAGTGCTGCAAGGAACTAGGGAGACTGTCTGGCCCGGGACGTCCTTGCTCCCTGGCCACACAGATGTCACAGGCGTCACTGCCACTTGCCGGTGGCACCATGACACGGTCCTGACCTCCCATCAGTTTTCCAGGTGGCAACTAAAGAGTGACTGGAATTCCCACAGGTTGTGAAGCGTAAGTATCTTGACCCAAAATGCTCACAAAATAAAAATGGCAGTCAGGTCACCACACTAATTCTATTAGAGCAGCAGCAGCGGTACTGAATGAGTGTTAGAAACTGAGAACCACAGGTGGCAACGTCTGGGTCAGCATATAGGTTCTAATACGTACAGCTGTGTGATTTGCCAACTTTTTAGAAAACTTACCTGAAGGCTCATTCCTCAACTTTAAAATGAGGATAACAGTATCCACCTTACAGGGTTGTTCAGGATTAAACAAGCAAGTCATATAAAGCACTTGGCCCAGGGGCGCCTGAGTGGCTCAGTTGGTTGGGCATCCAACTTCGGCTCAGGTCGTGATCTGGTTCATGAGTTTGAGCCCCACATCAGGGTCTCTGCTGTCAGTGTGGAGCCCACTTTCAATCCTCTGACCCCTGTCCCTCAGCCCCTCCCCTACCTGCTTGCTCTTTCTCAAAACTAAACGAACATTTAAAAAATAAGTAAGTAAAGTATTTGGCCCAGTACCAAGCCTAGTATATGTAAATGGTAGGTATATGGTAAATACCTACATATACTGGCTATGGATTAGTACTTGATTATATCTCCAACTAACTGAAAGTACCTAGAAGGCAGAAACATATACCTCCCTGTGGTCCCACAGCACATGGACTACTAGCAAGAAAGGAAAAACTAAGGGGCTTATTAATATGTTTTTAATTGTCTGTTATAAGAGAATATTTAAATATAGTTATTAAAAGTAAAGCCAGAATTAAATATGTTAAATATTAGAAGTACCCTATTAGAGTAGTAGAGCATTCTGAAGAAACACAGCAGAAAAATTTTAGTATGCACTATCCTTTCACTTTCTCCCACCCCCAGATAATCTTTCTAGGGATATATGTAATTTCTGGTATAATATTTAAATTTAAAGAGCATCCTTCTCTTCTGTCTTATTATGATCATGTACTCTCCTGAGCCACATATACCTATTCATGTTCCATATTTACATCACACAGTATATATACACATATATATTGTATATATCCACACATATAAATACACAGAATGTTACAAAAATTCCCAACCTAGAGCAACCAATAAATAGCTGGAACAGAGGATATGACAAAGGGTACAAAATTCAGAGTACCTGCTTGTGATGGTTTCTCAGACCAAAAGAACAAAACAGACTATTTTCCTAGAATCTATCTTCCGCGAGTAGTCAGGGGTCATAGGTCATTCAGCGTGCCGTTCAAGGCAGTGTGGAGACTGAAATTTTCAAACCTGGGCAACACAGTGGGTGATGTGTCAGCACACCTGGGCTAAGTCTAAGCTTACAGGAGAGTGAACTGTCAGGAAGAGACAATTTCTTACCTTCAGATTTGTGTGGTTCTCTTATTCAAAGGAAGGTTTAAAAAATGTAGACTTACACTGAAAGTAAGCAAAGCGTTCTTCCAGGTAAATGTGAATAAATAACCTAGAACCTATTTAGTTCCAGTTCACTTTCAAAGCACAAATCTTAGCAAGAGCTGGCTTTAAAGAAGGAAGAGAAAAGGAACAGTAACAAGGAATCTGGAGTAAGGGAACAGTTTTACACAAAATATATTTTTCCTTATATTTCACATTTTTGTAATTTATAATTGGCTCAACATTTTTATGGACAGGCTTTTTCCAGGGAGCTGACCCACAGCTGTTAGAGATTTGTGTGTTTTAAAGGAACGACACGTTTACTTTACAATAGGAAAGTGACTTTATGAGAAGACTGCGGCTGCAGGTCAGCCTGGGAATCACAAGGAGACACTTCTTATCTAATATTTTCCAGTAGAAATAATTGATGGCGACTTGTTAGCCGGTCATATAATTGCAAAGCTTTGTTTAAAGTATTTTTTTTACTAGAAAAGGAAACACTTAAATTGCTTGTTTTTTCCTCCTTACTTCAAGAAGATCTCAATAAACATCCCTGAACATTCCCTTTATTCCATCTCGCAAATTATTCCATTAGGATAAATTGCCAGAAGCTAGATCTTGTCCAAATGCTTCTCAGATCAGTGAATGACAATGTACGTTTCCACCAGCAACAAATACAATGATCCATACTACCAGTCTCTCATGAAGAGACTTCTAATTCGCTTTGAAATCTTCAGGGATTTGACGGGTGAAAAATAGTGTAATCATTTCATCTTGGCTGATACTGGAGTTGACCTTTCTTTCATG